TATAATAGTTTGTTTCTTTAGTTTTTATTTATCGAAATTTTTTTTAAAAAAAACGTTTCGGATCTTACAAGAGAACCCCCGATTTTTCAATGGACAAAGTAGAACTAAAGCGGAATGTCCAGCACCTACAGTGTTGAAAAGCTACCTTTAAATAACATTGTTTTAGCTCAGGACTGCTTTGTTACAAGTAAAGCTTGACAAGAAGCAGAAATTTAATTGTGGAATGGCACCATTGAGGAACGTAAATAAGGAAAAGAGAGAATAGTTGGGGGATAGCGTTAGCACCATTCCTCGTGTTTTGTGCCCGAAGTATAAATTGTTCCAAGTTTAAAGGGTCGCCCCGCGGCCTAGTGCACGCCGCACACATACGCGCTGCTATAGCGCCGCCCCTCTTACGTAACGGCGTATCTCAATTTCCTAGTGGTCCCTGTTTTACATATGAGCCCATGATTTCTAGGGCTCTCGAGGAAATCAAGGTACGTCCTTACGCTAAAGGAGCGACGATATAGCAGCTGTGATCGCACGATTACACTCACCGCATAATCCCATTTAGAATTTAAGAGAGCCGTGTTCGAAGTTGCCATGGTATGCCAAAAAAAATGGTCAATTTTTAATTAAATATGAGAGAAAAATGCTGATTTTTTAGCATAATGTGGCAAAGATGACCGTGTTACCGGACAACTTTAACGGTAGCCTCCCCACACTGAGGAAACGTTTGTGTTTTCGTGTTATTTTCAGTTACTATTGGAGGTGAAAAAAAATGACTTCGTGTTGATATCGGGTTTGAAGTATCAAATGGACATTTTTGGCTGCCTTAGTGAATTTTTATGCGGTTGTAAAGGTAAAGTTTATAATATAATAAGTAAAAATGAAGACATATCTACCAAAAAATGTTTCTTCCATTGCCTTGTTATTATGCATTCATTCTCCACGCCCGAGTAAAGCGTTTTTTAACGGAAAAATCGCGATATTTTGAAACCAAGTTGCGACTTCTTTTACGATTCTCATCAACCTGAGTGATTATCCTTGATCTTGTCGCAATTTCATCGCTGTAAAATCACGTCCGATTAAATCTAAATTTTGTCTCAATTTATCACGATTCTTCGTTCGATAATATTACGATTGATCACCGTCGGTAAAATCGCGATTTTATTGCAAATTTATACGATGAAATCGCACTTTATCGGGATTTTTCATCCGATAATGTTGCAAAAACTCGACTTCGATAAAATCGCAATACATTCTTCGATCTAATCGCAACTTATAACGATCTTTGCCACGTGGGCAGTAAGGGTTTCGTCATATTGGAGAGAGACTTTTGAAGACAAAAAAGTTTTGCTTTTACATTTATCTTTTGTTTCAAATTGACAGATATCAGGATTCAGAACATCGTCGAATCTGGAGGCTTTATTTTTAAAGCCTCTTCTAGAATTTTTCTTGCTATCGCCAAAATAAAAACTTATTTGGTATAAAATTAAAGACCAGTCTTTTATTGGGTATCCCTCGTTTGCACGAAAATCACAAAAATTTCCCCATGAAGTAGAAGCGAATGTCAATGCTTTCGCATTCATTGCTGGGAAATGACCAAAATCAAAGCAATAAATCTGGAGGCCAATTGCCCCGGCAGTAACTGAGCCCGTTGAAAACTAACACCACGGAGGGCGTTTTTTATGACCTCGTTTCGGCGGAGTAATGCTATTTGCATACTACAAGATCTGAAGGCGCACAGACTCGATAACATTGAAAACGCTAATAAAAATCCGTGATATGTAAGCCTAAACGTGTGAACTGTCGTATGAGGGACGGGAAGGTGGTGCGGCAGCCTTTAAGGTTCTCGACAGCTTGCCACATCTCATCAGAATACACTGGAAAAAACACTTTGGATCTAAAGTCCAGACTCTAAAAAACATCGACAAGAAAAAATACTCTTGATTCAATCGAATTTTTGCTTAAATCAAAAACCAAGCCTCTTAATTTGAGCGGATTTCCTTTTGATTTGAGCAAAAATCTGATTGAATCAAGAGTATTTTTTCTTGTCAAAGTTTTCAAGAGTCTGGACTCTAGATTCAATGTGTTTTTTTCCAGTGTACAGACTGCACTACTCGCTCAGCTCCATAAAAACAGAAAAAACTTTGGCTACACAACCAAAACTTGGGTGTCCATATTTGACAACATAATTTTTTGGCTCAGGTAACCAATTTTTTTTTTTTTTTTCGAAAGAATTGAACTTACGTTAAAATAACCGAAGTTTTTGTTGGCTGTATCAATACACGTATTCTTTAACAAGCAGTTTAATCAATAGAGCTGAAAACTTTGGTTACCAGAACTGAAAACTGTGGTGTATCACACATAGTCCTAAGTTCAGTCCATGTAACAAAAGTATTTTTTGTCCATTGGAGTGTTCCCCGTCAAAAAATGGCACGCGATACCAAGTCTCACAATAATCGATCGAACAGGAGCACACAGTGGCAAACGATACCAATCAATTTGCGTACGTAAGTGCGCCTTCAATTTCGTCCGATACTGTGCAATACTTCCGAGGGGGAATAGTTGCTTGGAGCGCCTTCAACAATGACGCTTCGATTTGATGGAAAAATATCACGATTTCCGCTGGAATCACACGCTAGCGCGTGCGCAGTTTAATAGTTTCTCATCATCGATGGTTCATACCTCAATTTCCGACGTTGCAAGTTCTTCACCGCCTATTTTACGCGGACCAACCAAAATGAACACTTTTTAAGGGACCGAGTTCATCAGAAAGGAACGAACCCACATTTTGGAAAAAATTGAGTTAAGAATGTTTTTGAGTTCCACTAGTCGTATATATTCCCCCGCCAAAAACTCGAGTCGAGGAAAAATAATTAGTCCTTGTTTAAGAGGGATTAAAACTTATTTCTTACATTGAGCCTAGTTGAGAAATACAACTTCAAACCTCTTTTTCTCAGTTTCAACTTTATATGGGTTGGTTCCTTCGTGTTGAACTAGGTCCAAATCTGCCTTATTTTTTCCAAGGTATGTGATGCCCTTAATTTAATGTTTTGTTTAAATGTATATATTGAAAAATACATTTTGAATGTTTAGTTTACACGGCTCCTCTATTTTAGTCGTGGATGACGTAAAATACGAGAGGGCGTGTTCTCACGGCAACTTGTCGCGTGCTGAGTCCCCGGGGAGGCGATGCCAATCGCGGCACTAATTGACGTGTTAATCCGCGACGATGACCTATCGTAAAACCGCATCGGGAGCCGCTTATATTTTTATCGTCTGGATTTTTCTCCCGGCGGGTTCGCTCGTGCTCCTTGCGCGTGTCGCTCGCGTAACAATGTCGTTGCGGAAAATATCTCTCGGCGAATCGGCGGCGTTCGAGTTGGCGTTGTTTTCATTAGCGCTGACGGATTGGCCGCCAGCACGAGCTAGCGCTCCGCTGCCGGGGCACCCACTTTGTCTACACGGCCTCGGTAATTAAACCAGCACGTTAATTATTCTGCCGTTAGATTAGAGCTTGTCGCCTTTTCAATCGCGCCAGTTCTTGAGATCTCCGCCTTTTCAAAAAAAATATTTTTACATTTTTGAGGTATAGTTAAAAGTGAGAGTATTGAAGAGTGTATTTTTAGGTTTTGTGAACTTTCAGTGCAGATTCGCCGTAATAAACTCCGCCTTGTAAGAAAGTGTGCATATATTAAGGGTAAACAAGAGAAATAAAAGTACTAAAACGGGGTACAGGCTGTGAATAATTATTATGCACTGGAAAAAAAAACACATTGGATCTAGAGTCCTGACTCTTAAAAACATCTAAAAGAAAAAATACTCTTGATTCAATCACATTTAAGCTTAAATCAAGAAAGAAGTCTCTTAATTTGAGCGGATTTCCTTTTGATTTAAGCTTAAATCTGATTGAATCAAGAGTCCTTTTTCTTGTCAATGTTTTCAAGAGTCTGGACTCTAGATCCAATGTGTTTTTTTTTCTCCAGTGTAAGGAATAATTATGTAATAATAATGTAAGGGTAGACTATGTATCGTGGATGATTATTCAGTGATAATTCTGTATGCATGAGGCAGAAAAGTTGAAGACAATAATTATGTGCATTGAACTTACGTCGAGCACCAAATGAATTCCAAGTACGCTCGACAAATTGATACATAACGGTCAGAAATAAGGGTTTCGTGCAGACAAAACCTGAAAAAATAACGGATACGACAGTGTCCTCCCCATTCATGCGATCGAATACAATGCAAGTTGCCGGCTGGCTTCACTTCTTTTACAAACACTCGACAATTTCGTCTCATGCAAAGTTCAGGTCTAAAGATTTCTCTTGCCTGATTACTTATGACTCCACGCTTTAATCGCAGGACACGGAAAAAATAGTTAAGGCAACCGTGGAGGAGGAGAACAGTAGCTGATTGAACTAACAATGAGGGAAATATTCGGAAAACTAAGTACTTTTCCGAAGAGTTTTCGATACTTTGAAAATGAGACCCGAACGCAAAACCGCGTGAGGACATAAGTCGAGACGCATTCAAGAACTTCACAATTTCTATAGATGGGGAAAGTTATAACAAGAGGAATTAGGTTGCCGTAAACGGCGCGGTAACTTTTCGGATTACTGTTGCGATATCAAAGTTTTAGTTCGGAAGTAAATACCACGATTACAACGCTACCAAGCATGTCATTCCATATGATGGAGACGGAGGTTCTTTATTAGGTATTGTCTTTGGAAAATAAACAACCGTAAATATTATTCCGGCTAACGAATTTATATTTTTATTAATGTTGTTTAAATAAAGTGTAGCGTTTGAGAATGACTTCATCGAAGTTTACTTTTTTATTTTTGAATTGGAGAAATGGATTCGCATTGTCTTTACTCTCAGTAGAAAGGGACTCTAGTTTATTAAACCCAAAAGAAAGTGTTGCCCCTAAAATTAAGTTCTGCCTCCTAAATCTAGAGTAAGGACACAAAATTCACCGAGTTCTAATGCAGAATGCGATTGATCTGTTGCAGGTGATCCTGACGCTGAAGAGTCTGAACATGTACAGTTTATCCGCCCGAAATGTGATATTGCAGGTGATCAGCCACGTGCTGGCCTACATGAATTCGTGTATAAATCCGATCCTGTACGCTTTTTTATCGGAGAACTTCCGGAAAGCGTTCCGCAAGGTGATTTACTGCCGGAAAGGAGGGCTCCGGGCGCGCGGTCACATGGACGGCCGGCCCGGCGACGAGAGGTCCGCGCTCACCAAAACCACCAGAACCAATGATATTTTATGAGAGTACAAGGTAAGAAATATACTATTCTGTTTACATTATCGTACTGCCGCACAGTGGAACGAGTCAATAGGAGAGATCGGACAAAATTTGGAAACGTCAAACGCTTATAACTCCGTTTATACAAACCTTTGCAATGAGATTCTATAAGTGGTTTCTTTGGTTTCCTCGTAAAAGCACCCCTTGAAATTTAAAATGTAACGAAATAAACATCAAAAGTTGCAGTTTTAGTTAAAAATTCCATATCCAACCTCTCTGATTGATTTGCTCCACTGTGTGCCGTGTTTTTGATGAAAGCAGTCAGTGCAAAAATGACGTTTTGAGGTACTAGGCATTGTAGGGTTCCAAGCCTGTAGGATGTCTACGTCAGTAAAAAGCGGAAAAACCGGAAAATATCAGGAAATGTGATGTCATTGGGAAAAATCAGGAAAATCAGTCATGGATAAACAAATTTCGAGTACGTTCAGCCTTTTTCAACGACTTACAGTTAGCACGTGCAAAAAGGATCCTCGTTATTCAATTCATCAAATATGTTGGTCTATAAAATCAAATTAATTGTGTCAACTAGTTCGCGCAAAAAATCAGTAAATTTCATTTCAAATATCAGGAAAATTAAAGATTGAATTTTAGTAGATATCTTGCCAGCGGAAAATTTTATTTCACGAGTCCTCAGGTCTTCACAAAATTGTTGATAATATTGGCCAACTGAAAAAAAAATCCTAGTTGCAGGAAGTATGAACAGTTGTAGTATGACCATGCGAAGAGAATGTTTTTAACACTTATATGGGGAGGGGGCACATATGTTTGCCAACTATTGCGGGAAGGGGGGCTGTTTCGAAAAAGAATCATTTCGTGCTGTGGTCTAAAAACCAATCACTTGACTCTAAAGTGCATCAACAAGTACACATTGTTCGTATTTTTTTGTGTAAGTCGCGCGGAATATAGTTTTGAAATTCCCGAGTAAACACGTCATACTTTATTTCTGATCAAACCTGTATCAGTGATGGTATTTGACTGGTCGTGTCATTCTGTGAAGTGGTCTCATTTTGACCCAAAGAATCAACTCCTGAAATTTTCTCATTAGCCCTGAGCCACTCTGTTTACAAGTCCAACTGTCACGAAAGTTATAAAAGTAGTTTCTGTTTGCGCTTTGCGATCTCTGATTTCTTTCTTTTGCTTTTCGTCTCGTCTGATCTACGAGCTTTTTATGGTAATAAAAATGCTGTAACTTGGTTTTTCTTGAGATGAATTGATGAGATGTCGGAAACATGTATTTACGTTCAAGGTTAAGGATGAGAAAGCTGTAATCATTGTGGCAAGTAAAGGGAGGGCGAGGGGGTTAACTCAAAGCGAGTAAACAATGTTTCTTTTCATCGCATATTATTTTGGTACGACTTTATTGACGTGATGGAGAAACGACAAAACCCACATCCCGGGTTAAAATTGCAAATCTTGTACGCAGATTTCATCTTCATGATTGTTTTGTTTTTCGTAGGATGTAGAGTCCCTTTGTAGAGAGAGTTGAGACAACGCGGCTCATGGATGTCACAAACGGGAATGAAGATTACACAAATCGGACATTTTGTGTAATCATTGATCAACCTATTCCCGGATTCCTGTCTCCATTCCCTCTCTCATACTATTTGTTCCTCGCCGTTCCTCCAATTTCGCGGTCCATTCCAGTTAATAATCTTTGCAATTGGTAAAAGTGTAATCTTTATTCCCGTTTGTGACATTGTTAAGACCTAAAATGCGGGAACCAGACAGCAATGGAATCACATTGTCTCTTCTGAGTATAAGGGGACTCTAGTAGGCTCTAAAATGGTTCCTATTCCTGCTCATTCATCGAGATAGTTTCTCAGTCTTATGAATGACACTGGGTCCCTAAAACTGTGACTAAAGCCAGATGAAAACTAGAAATTTGATTTAAAATTATAAAATAAACTCGGTGAATTTTTCAGTAGTTTATTCCTTGGGTCATCAGGAGTCAACAAAAAAAAAAAAAAAAAAAAAAAAAAAAAAAAAAAAAAAAAAAAGTGTCGCTTGAAAATAAGACTTGGGTGCCCAAAAATAAAGGACACTGGCTAGTCATTAGCAATAATTGGCTCTTAGCATCATACGTAGCTAGGCGTGGTTTGAACCAATGCCTGTTTTCTTCACTTTTATCCTCGCCGAACAGTGGATCGAGTCAATAGGAGTGGTCGGACAAAATTTGGAATCTTTAAACGCTCATAACTCCGTTATAGAAAACTTTGGGGTTCTGAAAGTGGTTCCATAGGTATTTTCATGAAATTTCCTCCTACACGCACCCCTTGTAATTTAAGATGTGACGAAATAAACATCAAAATTTGCAGTTTTAGTCAAAAATTTCATGTCCGACCTCTCCCATTCGATCTGCGGACTCGATCCACTGTGCGCCGGCCAGTTCAAGAGAAACTCCGTAAGCTGTCCCTTTAAGTACAATAAAGGCAGGATAAGGTCGAGTTTATTTTGTAATTTTAAATCAAATTTCTAGTTTTCATCTGGCTTTAGTCACAGTTTTGTGGACCCAGTGTCATTTATAAGACTGAGAAACTATCTCGATGAACAGGAATAGAACCATTTTAGATCCTACAACCTACTCCTACGAATAAGTAATTCAGGTAAATAAAACTTTGACGATTAATCAGTACCTTTTCCCCTGATTTATTCTGAAAACTCGGAAAAGAGGTTGTATCCACGTGTATGATATCATTTAGGTTGCTATTGTCTGTTTTCGTCTTTACATCTTTGCTGTCACCATAGGTACCAGCTGACATTGCGAAATACCCTGAATTCACTTCCGAGAATTCCTCGTTGACGTTAATAGGACCTATTTATGCTAAAAGGAACTATGTTCAACGCAAACCCTATGCACATAGTTCCTTCTAGCATAAATACGTCCAATATACATTTTGAAGAGCCCTCGCTCGGCAATTCGCAATCATCTTCGGAGGTCCCATCTTTTTCCATTCCTCTTGTGGAGCGTCGTAAAATTTGATTTTCGGGAAATAGTGAGTGACAAAGAAGCCGGCGGATCAATGAGAGAGAGGGCGGAGACTCGCGGATTTCAGCGGATAAATTGAATTTTTATCGTCGCTTCCGCAGCGACAGTTTTACTGTGTAATCTTTCGTCGCTCATGATTTACGTTCACTGCACAACCCTAAATGCTCCCTCCCATTATGCGCTTTTCGTTAAGTGCTCATTCAAGTGCCTTCGGATTACAATGTAGGCGAGGGCAAATGTAGTTTCAATATGGATTTTAAGAGGGGTGTAAAATCATGGCATTGAAATAATTCTTCTTTTTGTCGAAGCCAGTCGATCTCTGACATAAGTTGCATGGGTGGCGTTCGGTAAAAGAAGACCGCGTGTTAGAACCGCGTAACTGGTTATAGCGCATCTGCGGGCTGTTACGAGCTTTTTTTAAAAGCTGGTTTCACATGATGTCAGCTGTAATAGTATTCGAGTCGCATTTGATAAGTATCTTCTTTTTGAGCACCAAATCATCATTTTGACTTCCTTTTCCAAGGAGAAGAAACCACTCTATCTACCTCTATAAGAGCATCTATCTGCAGATGGAAATTGATGGCACATATCGATAGTCAAAGTGCAAAACCACGTACCTCCATCGCGGTGTTTCAAAATATATTCCCATTTTATTTTTTCAAAAAAATAGAAGCCAACTTAATAGCTTGAAATTCATACCGAATACTCTGCTAACAGAGAAGAAAAATCAAGGAAGTTTTCAAGGAATTACGTTGACCAGTTTTCTGAAGAAAAAATTAAGTATGACAGGAAGTTTGCAACATCGCAAACGGAGATCCGCGGTTTCCACCATTGGCGGCTCCAGCAAATTGGCAACGTTGATTTTTTCCATTTAAACCCATGGAAATGTATCGATTCTTAGAGGGGGTTAGTGCTCCGACAAGAATCGATTATTTAACATAGCTTTAAATAGAGAAAATCCGGTGTTGCCAAATTGCTGGATCCGCCTCTGGTTTCCACTTCGCTTGTCGATATGTTATTTCTGCAACGAACCAGGAACAATAGTTCCGTATTATAGAATGTAGTTCATTAATTAGAACTAAGCAAGAAATAGGTAATCATTTGTAATTTTGTACTAAAGTGAGGCCCAGTATTTATTTTCAGTTCGTCGCAGTAATTGGACTGTAACGCGCAAGTAGATCCAATACTCTTATTTCTCGCTCATTTCAGAAACAACGTCTGGATCCTCATTATCCGTACGCAGATAGTTCTTTCATGAATAAGTCTGAGATAGCAGCTCTTTATTGCGTACAGCAGTCTAATTGGAGAGTGGAAATTCAAAGCATCTAAAAAGTCATCTCGTGTTGCTAGGATTGTGCTGAAGTATCTCTTATACAAAAACGTCATCAAGTGACAGGCAAAACAGCCCCCAAGCCCTACCTTCTTCTCCTTGAGTAATATTAACAGAGTTCTGCTGGAAGGAGCCAGATGTGAGGTTGTCTAATAGTTCTGCTTTCCTTGCGTAAATACCGTCTGTAAATGTAATAATTAGAATTCACCGAGGTGGCAAATTAAAAGCGTGCGTAATTTCAATGTAACGGTTTTTAGAAAATCGCAGAGTTCCGCGAACGGAATTTCGCTGAACATTTAGCAATGGACACCAGTGACGTCAAAGGAAAAGGAGTTCCACCTCGTTCCTCGAGTGAGTCCCTAGCGAATTTCACTGTGGCGTGGCGTGCCTTGCGATATATCGATTGCTATGCCGTTTAAACCTATGGAAAAGCATCGATAATCAGGGTGTTCGCAACGAACAGCTTAATAATCGATTCTTTATCATAGGTTTAAATGGCAGAACAATCGATATATTGCAACTCACGCCACGCCTCTGACTCCGACATCTGTTTTATTCAAAGCGATACTACGAAACTCTTTCCACGTGAAAGGAGAGCACGGGAGACACGTCAAGAGTCGAAAGAGTGTCTCACAAAATATAAAAAGAAGACGAGGG